TAGAACCAAAAAAGACCTCAATTAGCCACAGCAATCTTGAAAAAGAAGAACAAAGTAGGAGGGATCACATTACCAGATTTCAAGTTATACTACAAAGCCACTGTAATCAAAACAGCCTGGTACTGGTACAAGAACAGGCATACAGACCAGTGGAACAGAACAGAGAACCCAGAAACGGATCCAAGGCAATATGCTCAATTAATATTTGACAAAGTTAGCAAGAGCATATAGTGGAGTAAAGACAGCCTCTTTAATAAATGGTGTTGGGAAAATTGAACAGCTACATTAAAAAAAAATGAAACTAGACCATCAACTTACACCATACACAAGAATAATCTCAAAATGGATAAAAGTCTTAAATGTGACTCATGAATCCATAAAAATTCTAGAAGAAACTGTAGACAACAAAATTTCAGACATCATACACAGAATTTTCAATGATACATCACCTAAGGCAACAGAAACAAAAGAGAAAATGAACACATGGAACTACATCAAACTCAAAAGCCTCTGCATAGCAAAAGATACAGTCATCGAAATGGAAAGGCTACCCATTGTATGGGAGAGCATAATTGCCTGTGATATATCAGATAAGGAATTAATTTCCAATATATATAGAGTGTTCATACAAGTCAACAAAAGGAAGACAAAGAGCCCAATTAAAAAATGGGCAGAGGAACTAAATAGGCACCTCTCCAAACAGGACATACAATGGCTAAGAGACATATAAAGAAATGCTCAACATCACTAATTATCAGAGAGATGCAAATTAAAACAACAATGAGGTATCACCTCACACCTGTCAGGATGGCCCCCATCAGCAAATCATCAAACAAGTGTTGGCGAGGGTGTGGAGAAAAGGGTACTCTAGTACACTGCTGGTGGGAATACAGACTGGTGCAGCCACTATGGAAAACAATATGGTGTTACCTAAAAAAATTAAAAATTGAACTTTCATTTGACCCAGTGATCCCATTTCTAGGAATATACCCAGGAACCCTGAAACTCCAATCAGAAAGTATATATAAACCCCCATGTTGGTAGCAGCACTATTTACAATAGCTGAGATCTGGAAACAGCCCAAATGTCCATCAGTAGATGAATGGATAAAAAAGCAGTGGTACATATACACAATGGAGTACTATGCAGCTGTAAGAACAAAAGATCTCTTTTCCTTTGAGACGACATGGAGGGACCTTGAAAGTGTCATCCTAAGCAAAACAAGCCAAATAGAGAAAGACAAGTTTCATGTGATCTCACTTATTTGTGGAATATAATGAACATAACAGTCTGAGGAATGGGGTAGTCCCAGAGACGTGGAAGTGGGGTACAGACTGACAATCCTCAGAAGAGGGGATGGTGGGGGAGAAATAAACCACAGAACTTATATGCATGTATGCATGAACAAGGGACACAGACAACAAAGCTTGGGAGAGGGTGGGGAGGGATGGTGAGGGGGAATCAGTGGGGGTAAAAGGAGAAACATCTGTAACAAAAATAAATTAATTAAATAAAAATATGTAAATAAAGAAATAAGAGATATATAAACCGAATGTGTTGACATTTTTTGAAACATAATTCAAGCAAATAATTAAAAAGACATTTTAAAGTTACTGGCATAGTTGAATAAATTTGAGTAATAAATATTAAGGAGTTATTGTTAATTTCAGTTCCTGTGATGATTATTTTTAAACCTTTTTCTGGTAGAGAACCATACTGAAGTATTGAAGAGTATATTGCTATATTTGGGATTGATTTAAAATATTCCATAACAATCATAACAAAATAAGTAAGTGAAGCAAAATTGTTAGCAAGTTTTTATTCCAGGAATGGATCTAGGAGAGCTCATTGTACTATTCTCTCTACTTTTGTACATAATAAAATTTTAATTGTGCACATTCAAATGAGCAGTTTAAAAAATATTGTATGGCTTGTGCAATTATTTTTGTCTAGAGAACAGATAAATAAAAAATATGACAAATACGTAAGTTACCATTAAAATATAATTCACTGTGCTTTCTTTTACTGATACCATTTGTTTTTATTCTACAGATTTTAAATGAGGCATATAGAGAGTCATGTAATAGTGTTTGTTTGCTTGTTTTAAATTTTGAGTTGACTGGATTACTCTGAACAGCCTGAAAATTCAGTTAATCTGACTGTATAGGGACTTGGGCTAAAATAAAGGAAATATATATTGCAATTTTGCTGCTGAGATCATTTGTCATTTAGGGAGAAGCAGGGGGGAAGAATTCAAATCTTGTAGATAGTGTAATAAGAAAAATTAATTTCTTATTGATATTAGATAGCAGGCCCTGAGGAGAGAAAGGGAGGTGCACAAACATTGCTATTTTGAAACCCCCTTTGAAGCACCTCACCACTATTTCCTCAACTCATCCATGGGAGACTTTCTGCTCCATTAACAAATTCTTCTATGCTGCTCATAATTACTACTTCAACAAGGTATTACCCATCCCAGGCTAATTACATTGTTTAAAAATATGTCTCTGGACAATAGGACATTTGAATATAAAGGAACAAATCCTAGCATAGGCATTTCAGACAGGAAGATAAAAATGTAAGGGGGAGGTGACCAGATTTTCATTAAGGGAAGTAGGTGTTTACAAACACTGTGGAAGGACACCACATAGGTAATGGTTCACTGCATCTACCTTCAGAACTAAATGAACATAAGACTACAGGGAAAATATACATGAACTACCCCGGAATGCAAACTACCGGACATTTTTTAAATTACTTTAGCAAAATTAATATTTCAAAGGAAATAATAAATATGATTCATACAATTATCCCACCCTAATCTTCCACTGAGGAAAACATTCTCAGGACCTTGTATTGATAACCCTTTATTAGTTTTGTTTTAATTGTTTTAAGAACCTAGAAAAAATTTAAGGTTCATTTGTTGAAAAATAAACATCCCACAAATTTCAACAAGAAGTCTCCCTCTAGTCTGCCTACTTACTAATCGCTGAGGTTTTCATTGTGTGGTAATAGCAGAAAATAACCAAACACAATGAGCATAATGTACTTCTAGCTTTATATACCATACTGCAAAACACAGCAATACAAAATTAATGTGTGGCAGTGCTTGCCTATTCAAATGGTTAGAGAAATCCAAAGATACGTTGGTAGATTTAATATGATTAAACAATTATGATCTTTATTATGATTAATGTCATTACATGAATAGCATAATTTCAGTGACCACTTCAAGTTCAGTGTGCCCAAGATAATAATTCAGGAGTTCGAAGTTTGTGTTTGCTGCATATTTCAACATTTCCACCCACTTCGAGATCTAATCACAGTCTAAATTATCTTTCTGGACCTTGTCTGCAGTTAGATTATCTTTCCAATTCTGGTATAAGGCACCATAAAACAAAACAAAACAAACAAAAAACCCTAGAATCACTATGAGGACAAAAAACATCTTTCATTTACCACATCTCTAACTCCTCTCAATATACCTAGACTACTGATAATTTTGAATAATTGATTTTTGGTATAGCTGTGTTCTTTAACTAGCTTTCAGCTGTTGCCCACTTTCTCACCTGAACCTCCAGTTTGGGCCTCAACCTCCTTTCCTAAGGCATACCCATCTCTGTCCTCACCCTCCAGAAACAACTTTCTTAGGCCCAAGAAGTAACTGCTGCCCTGGACTTTGCCTGTTCACCAAGTAAACTGGCTTTCTCTGTGACTTCATGTTAGATCCCAAAGAGTAAATGAGCTCTTACCATGCTCTCATTCCACACTCCCTGAGCATGCTCTGCCTGTTCATAGAAACTAAAGCCAAGCTCATAGCAAGAGATCTTCTTCCAAGTGAAACCTGTTTCCAGGCCAGGAAGTAACAGCCCATGTTTACTGAGTGCTCACCATGTAGCAGAGATAATTCTAAATACCTCATGGTATGATCTCATCGAATCTACACCCATGAGGTGGTGACCAGTATGATGACTAGATTTTCATTTAAAAAAATACAAATAAAATATCCACCTCAAAAGTATTAAACAGTAAGGAAATTTATTATCTCAATTCATTAGAGTCCTAAGGTAGACCTGGCTCCAGGTATGATACCATGACATTTGGACAGATATAAATGAGAATGAGAACTCTGAACTCCAAATCCTCCTGAAAGTTTCTGGCTGGCAGAGGTACCTGCAATAATCCCTCAAACAAGCTTCTCTGGTTTAACATTTCAATGACTTAACCCGGAATAATTATCTCTCAAAGGTCTGCAGATTCTCCTCAGCACCCACTGGGACTCTCTGAATGCCTCTAAGCCCCCCAGACCCACAAGGAGATCTCAGCATAGCTCAGCAGTGTAAAGTGAAGTTTAGGAGACAGCCTGCATCTTGCCAATTTCCATAGGCAGGAATCTGGGGCACACGTATAAGTAAGGATTCTAAGGGTGTCAGCCCAAGAAGGATGAAACATTAGAATAAGGCTCTATTTATTATGGGTGCACTTACCCAGGATCCAGAATTTAATGTTAGCTCAAGCACCAGAAGGGGCATTAAATTAATGTGCTCCACTGTTAATTAATTAAAGGTTGAAGTCAATAGCACCTCAAAAGCAATGAAAAAGAATTCCCCTGTCAGTGTTGAGGAAGGAACTTAAAGACTCACAAAGGTAGGAACATTGTATGTGTCTGGATTTATGCCTGTAGTGTAATTAATAGTGCCCCCTTTCATTTTCAAAAGTGTCCCAGTTTGGAATGGTGTGCTACCTGCTCAGCCATCCTTTACCCATGCCACCCTGGAGGTCCCAAAGGACACTCCCTTTGCCAGTGCTTTAATGCGTTGGCAAAGTGAGCACCAGAATCCCTATATAGTTCTATGGTACTTGTCCTCTGCAGCCTAGAGATGACAGTGGGTAATACTGGGATTCAACCGGGTTTCCCGATCTCAATGAGCAAAAGGAAAATCAGGGTGAGAGTGGTAGAGGCCAATGATATCACTTAACCATTAAAAGACACTGCATTATTTATTTTTTTCTGTAGTTCTTGATATTTATTGAAAAGAATGTAAGTCCTTTTTCCAAGTAGTATTGAGAAGCTGGGCTGAGTGCCTGTTTTTGTTTTATTTTTAGTATTTTTGTCCAAATGCACACATCTGTGGGACTGCTGCAATTTTTAAAGAAAAATGACAGCTATGCAAAACTGATGCATAGCATAAAAGAAATGTCAACAATTTGGCTTCCCCAGCACACTAGGCCCCTGCAGCAATCTGGTGGGGGAGGGGAGGACTCAGGAAATAGGTAGAGAACTAACCAGATTGAAAGACTGGCCCCTTCAAAGGTTAGCGAGATGTCCAAATCAATGTCCAAGGAGGTGTAGCCAACTCAGGCATCTTCTAGGTGGCTCCTTATCTCCAAAGGTGGTGGTGGTCTGTTGCTGGAATGTAGTGGATGGTGGTGTAGTGACAGCGTAGGTCTTTGGGCAAATGCAGGCCTGGCAGTTGGCAGGGCTGTGCATAGTCAACCAGTTTGTAACAGGGCTCAGAGGGCTCAGGACACAGTCCAAATTAGCAGGGGTGAGTCCTAGGGCAGGCCAGTAGGTGGCAGTGTGTTTCAGTGATAATTCCCAGCCCCAGCAAGTAACTGGAGCACAATTCTTGGAACAAAGACAAGCACTATGGGGATGAGGGAGAGAACTGGAGATAATGGGTAGTGAAAGAGATTGGAGGGCCAAGGTGGAGCACGGTGGCTCCTGGAAGGGCAGAGTGGGATGTGGGGGGGTGGCAGCGTGCAGGGCCCTCCCCTTTAGGCCCCAGGGTCTCTAGGCCTAGTAACCATCTTCTTCGTTGTCATCATCATCTTCCTCGTCATCCCAGCCAAAACATTGTTTCAGCTCCTCCAGGAAGGCCCGGTAATCACTTAAGATGGGGCTATCCATCTCAATGTAGGGCACCACCCACTCCTCGGCTTCCCCGGTGAGCAGGCTGATTAGGAATGCCACTTTCATGGCGTCGTTGCAGAAGCGGTTCTCGTTGACAAGCATGTAAGACGCCGTCTGCACGATAAACTCGGGGAGACGGGAGGTCTCGCCGTTAAACTTTTCCGGGAAGGGCACCGGGCAGCTCGGTGGACGTACCTGGCGCAGCAGGGTGGCTCTTTCGCACACCAGAAGCCGCAGCTGTTCCATAAGCTGGCTGTTCTCGATGCTCAAGGCGCGGTGCCGCACCAGGAGGGCGTGCAGCAGCAGCAGCAGCTCGTCCACCATGGCGAACAGCTTGGAAGGCGGGGCTCAATTTGATTCCGCTAGGCTTGGCTTAGGTGCGCACGGAGGCCTCGCAAGCAGTACGTGTCCGCACAGGAGCCGGTGGCCCTGGGACTAAAGTGGTGCACGGAGAGGTCCCGGGGGCTGCGCAAGCTACGCCTACAAAGCCGCTTTCCACACGGACGCGCCAGCGCGGCCCTAGGTGGGGGTGAAGGGGGAAGAGGCGTGTCCAGGAAAAGGTACTGGCACGGCGTGGGGGCGTGGCCAGAGTGTGGTGGATAGGGCTGCAGTGACGTGACCGGGGAGGGCGTGGTCAGGGTGTGGGCGAGTCTCAGGGCTGAGGGCAGGTAGTTCTGGAGGCCCACTGATAAAGGCGGGGTAGTGCCGCCAAACCCTGGATGTGTGGCTGGCGTTTGCCAGGGCCCAGCAAGAGCTAAGACCTTTCTTTCAGAGAGGGCCAACCTGCTGAAATTTAAAGGATTATTTAACCCTCAATCCAACCTACTCAAAAAATTCAATGCTCCTTTGTGGGCCTGTGGCCTCTACCTTCCGTTTGTGTGATGTTTGTTAACACATTTTCTTGCTTATTTAAATCTCACTCAGCCAGGGAGCTTTTAGCACTGCCAACTGCAACAGCGGGAGTCACAAGTCACACATTGTTTCAAAGTAATGCAGACCCCCCACCCACCCCAGGGGCCATGATTTTAAGACAAAATATTTAAACAGATTTTTGTTTAGTTTGGAAATAATATTGTATATCTCTATACTTTTTAATTTTTACTTTTCTAAATTGCAAAGTATTAAAAGTTATGCGAAATCATCTGATAACCATCTGCAGGCATGCTCCTAATTTCTACTATATTATGTATTAATATTAGTGCCCCTGGGCCACTGGTGTCATTTTTGTTTAACACTGAAGACTTGTGTTTTTAAATGGTTTTGTTTTTCTACTTTGAATGTGATTATTCAAATATTTGTTGACAATTGAATTGTGTCCTAACCCTTAGAGCCAACCGTTGCCTCTGTTTTTAAAATACATCCCCAACTTAATCACTTTCTGTCTCTTCTACCAATACTAACCACGCTGACTGCAGCCTTTCTTACCCACAACACTGCAATTAGTCTCTTAGCTTTTACTCTCCTCTTCCTACAGTGTATATATTCTTCATAGAGTGGGCACAGGAATCTTTTTTTTTTTAATCTTCACCTGAGGACATTTTTCGATATTTTGTTCAGAGAGAGTGGGAGGGAGAGAGAGAAAGAGAGAAACATCCAACGTGATAGGGACACATCTAGTGGTTGCTACCCACATGACCCAACCAGGGCCGGGGACAAACTGCAACCGAGGTACATGCCCTTAGCAGAACCGAACCGTGTCTCTCTGGACCACAGGCTGACGCTCTAACCGCTGAGCCAAACCGGCCAGGGCAGGCACAGGAATCTTTTAGAACAAAAGTTAGATCTCTCCACTCCCCTGCCCCAAATCCTCCAACATTTTTTTTCTTCTCACAAAAAATAAAAAATAAAATTTTGGTCATGGCCCAGGAGGCGCTGCCTCACCTTCTATGCCTTCACATTCCCTGCTCTGCTCTAATCTTTGCTGATTCTCACACACAAGTAGCTCTCATCTCAATATCTTTGCACTTTCTATCATTTCTACATAGCAAGTACTCTCCCCAGTTAGTTGCCGGACTCCTCTTCCCACTGTTTTTAGAGAGGACTTTCCTGACCATCTCATCTATCAGAGCATCCTGCATTCTGCTGGTAATCTGTAACCATTCACAATGCTTCATTTCTTTACATATTGTTTATCATACCAGCAGCTGTCATATAACTTTGTTAGTTTGCCTCTACTTTAGAATGTAAGTGTATGTGGACAGAGATTTTGTATTGTTAGCTTCTCTATTCCTAAGACCTGGAAAAGTACCTGGCCCAGAGTAAGAAGCTCCATAAATGTTTGGTGGATGAAAGAATTTCAGAGCATAGATGTTCAAATAAAAAATAGAACTAGGGGCTGCACAAAGCGTCCAAAAATACTCTTCATATTTTCCGGTATGTTCTATCTCTGATCATGAATCACTCCTCATCATAAAATGATAACTGACATAATAGCAATGGCTAAATAATTTATTTTAAAACCCTCTTTAGTCCTTTTACAATAGAATTGAATGGCATCCATGGAACTGAGAGGCTGAGAGAGGGAAAAAAAAAAGGACCAAGTTTCAAGTAGGAAGAGGCGGAGGGATCATGCTACTGAGAGGGTGGGCAGGGAAAAGAGCAGGTAGGAGGGAATATGAGCCCTTGGGCTCTCCTGTGATATGAGTTCCCTCACTGGATAAGAAACCCCTTGAGGTCAAGCAGGGACCCTCTCTCACTTATCCTTTTATCTTTAATCTGAAAGTGTTTACTGGGTGCAGCATAAATGCTCAGTGGACAGAATGAGGGGACAGGAAATCTCAGAGGTAAGTTTCTGGTCATTCTGCCCATTCACAGTTCAGCGTAGAGAGTGGACCCGCCTGGTGCAGCAGTGAGTGTCCAGCTCTACTTTTCATGTCCAGACTCTTCTACAGGAAGAAATACCCAGGGTTCTTATCCCAGGAACCCACATCCTTTGGCAGATACCCCAAACAAGGACCATGTATGAGGATGGATATTCTAAGAGCCTGAGACCCAGAAATGAAAGCTTTGTCTAAACCCAGGAGAGCAGTAAGTTGGTGGTCCAGTTTAACATAGTCAAAGCTTCTCTGACACTGATGCACAGGCACTTCAGTGAACAATTATTGTGCACTGGACTTCTGTGCATCCGGCTGGTCTAATTGGGATCCAGAGATGATTGGGCCAATCTTGTACTAGTCTTCTTCCTACAACCCCATGACATAGGAAGTCAGGGAGGAATCCACAGGAAACAACCACTAGTATCATCTCATAGGGGGCTATGAGTTCCTAGAAAACAAGAAATGTCATAGCCAGACCCATGTACAGAGCTAAGCAGTGATTTTGGGAGGCACTTCCCAACTTGGAGGGAGGGAAGAAAGATAGGCATTTCCTCGGTGACCCTCAGGGAAGCAGTTGAGAAGATATGAGTAGCATCAATAGACAAAAACATAGAAATATAATGTTCATGTTAACCAGCTTCCAGTGCCCACGATGTTCTCCCACTAATGCTGAGGCCTGCCTGCCATTCTTTCTCCATTCACCCTGCTTAGGGCTGCATATTGCTTTGCTCACTCCCCTTTCTCCTCTAAAGTGACCTTTAAATGTTTGTTTATGCTGATGTGAAGATGCTAGAGGCAGAGGCAAAGCATACCATGTGACATCTCAGGCTCAGAAACTTTATCAGGACAGTTCTGTCTCAGAACATCTTGAGGGTAGGTTTGGACCCCAATATTTTGCAGGAAAGGAGAACAAGGTCAAGGCCAAAGGCATGAACCCTGGTGCTTACTGCTTCTACCACCTACCATGCTCAAACCCTGCCCTAGTATACACCTAGAAGCCAGACTGGTAAATTCCCTTGAAATAAATATGAAAACGTCCCTCAATTCTTCAGCTTCCTGAACAGTGTGTACAAGTCAGGTAAATCAATTTGATACAAGGATATGCAACCAGGAGCAGAAAGTAGCTTTTTTTTTTTTTTTTTTTTTATCCTCACCCGAGGATATTTTTCCATTTTTTTTTTGTACAGATAGAGTAGGAGGGAGAGAGAGGAAGAGAGAGAGACAGAAACATCGACGTGAAGGGACACATTGAGTGGCTGCCACCCGCACGACCAACCAGGGCCGGGGACAAACTGCAACCGAAGTACGTGTCCTTAGCGGGAACCGAACCCGGGTCTCTCCGGACCGCAGGCTGACGCTCTAACTGCTGAGCCAAACTGGCCAGGGCCAGAAAGTAGCTTTGAATGGGATATTTGTGAGAGGGTTAAATGGATGCTACTAAGATCCAGTTCTCTGTCCACAGGCCCTCCTATTCCTTTTTCTTACCAAGTGTACCTGGATCTTCTTTTTAGCATAACCACATCTAAAGGACTGTGAAGACCTCTGCCCTAGAGAGAGAAATGAGAAGGTATAGCTTCCTCCTTCCTACCTTCATCTTCACCAGTTTACCAAAATGAAACATTTTTTACATGTGTTTTTAAAGTACAAAGTTAATATATTCTTATGGTTAAAAGAAATTAAATAATACCAGTATAATAAACTTAAAAGAAAATATTCCTAATACCTCTCTTTCCTCCTACAAAATCTTACTAAACAGGATTATTGAAATTCCCTTTGTCTCTCTCTTTACATAACATTTGCAGAATTCTAATACCAATGGTTCTGCTAACAAATATATGTCAAGACTTATAGATACACAGAGCTATCTTCTTAATGATTGAATAATCCTCCACTTAAATTTCTCAGGCACACTCCTGCCTGAGACCTAACTGTTCAGTTTCTCAGATGAAGTACAAGTATGGTGCCAAATACACTAACAGTCCCAAACATATAGAACTGGAAAATCAGGTTTTTATTACTAAATAATGATTTGTATGAATTAATGTCTTATTAATTTGTATGTTTCATGCATATATTTCATATTGCTGCAATATAGAATTTATTGCTTGTACTATATTGTACAAGATTGTTGTTCTCATTTTTTCTCATTCCTATTTATTTAATATAAATTAGTCATCTTGAACATACAAGAGCTTATATACTTGGTTTGTTTCTGCCATTTTCATACATTTTAGAAAGTAAATGGCATAATGTTAAATCTGTTGCTATAGAAATTAAGAGTATGGCCCTGGCTGGTTTGGCTCAGCAGTTAGAGCATCGGCCATGGACCAATGAGTCGCAGGTTTGATTCCATTCAAGGGCACGTTGTACCTCGGTTGCGATTCGTCCATGGCCCTGGTTGAGGTCATGCAGGAGGTAGTCACTCGATGTGTCCCTTTCACATCAACGTTTCTCTCTCTCCCTTCCACTCTATCTAAACAAAAATGAAAAAATGTCATTGGGTGAGGATAAAAAAAAAATTAAGAGTGTGGCCTGTCATAATATGTGTTTACTTGTTGGTTTTATTTATTATTATTATTATTTTTTTATCCTCACCCGAGGACATTTTTCAATTTTTTGTTCAGATAGAGCGGGAGGGAGAGAGAGGAAGAGAGAGAGACAGAAACATCGACGTGAAAGGGACACATCGGCCCTGGCCGGTTTGGCT